TGCAATGGGGCTTCAGAAAATGTTACATAATTTTAGCCCAACATTTCATTTTTGGCTGGTTTGTAATCCACTACGAAGGTAATGGTACGTCACAGATGTGAATTATTAGGGCTTTTAGGATCACAAAAAATGTTTTAGCATTTTTTTAATGCCCATTACTAAGCTTACATTAAATCTTGGCTGTCGGTCTTTGAACCATAAATGGTCCTCAGGAACCCATTGTTTGTATGTTCTTTTGCACTTTCGTTAATAATTGGCTCTTGCTTTTTGGCCATGTATTCCTAGATGTTTTTATTTGCACTACAGTTTTAAAGCCATAACTTTGTAATAACAAACTTTACCATTACCATACAGGCCCTGCTTCTGCACCTCAGGCAGGCAGTGTGGTTTCTGAATCAAGCCGGTGCTCCATTATCTGATGCACATTCACAAGATATGTTTTACCAATCTTCTTTCTTTTACAGAGAAGCCTTCTAAGGCCCCAGCCGGCTGTTGAACCCGTTGTCTTGAACTTGTTTAATATGCCAAAATTCCATTTTGGACAATTTTTCCAGTAGTCCAGTCGTCGTGAATAGCTTTTCATAGGTAAGTCAAATCACTAGTTAAAACCTTAGGTGACTACAATGAACAAAGAAACTTAGATCTATTTTGCAAATTATGTGGCTGTTTTTTAGCAACAGATGCTAAAAACTTTTTGACCGACATTTATATGACCATCAAAATTACTAAATCATACCATAACTCATGAACTGCTCCTCATTTGCATTTAAATTTTTATTTCTTTGACAGCTGTAAACCCCTAGCAATAGTAGATTAAAAAGAGATCAGGTACTTATAATATATCAATTCGGCCTTTACTCTACCCGCAATCCTTGACGATCTTGGATCTTGTTGAAGGTTTTCGACGATGGGGCTTTTCGGAATTATTGACGTAGATTTTCATTGACAGATCCAGAGAACGCCTTTAGTAAGAACTTTAGCGTTTTGCGTCACGAATTGCATTTTTTTACGGTTCCTAATGTACTTTGACTAATTGACTATTTTATTTTAACCTACCCTTTACCTTGTCTTTCATAAAAGTTGTTTTTTGGTATTCTAGTAAGTTGTTGCTATCCTTTTATTAGAGTCAAGGCTGTTGTGAGCTTGGATTTGTGAGGCTTTTCCAGGGTTTCCACTATATAATTATTCACAGAATCGTAAATTCCATTGTTGGCATTTTATTGACATATTTCGCACTATTAATTTGGATCGTCTGCAATCAAAATAATAACTTTTTTTGCTTATAATGGGTCTAACGCAACTCTTGCCTGCTTGGAGCACTCACTTTCACCCCCATTGCCATTTTTGTGAAGATGGAGAACGGACTGACCGAGGTTCATCTCGTATCCCTTCCCTCGGAAGTCAAATCCCTTAAGCTTGTCGACACAAATCACCCAAACAACAAAGACAGTGGTGATGCGTCTAGCAGTAGAACTCCCAGTCCCACCAAGAAATGTCATGAGATGATGTTTATCGATGACGGCACCGCCTCTTCCTCTTCTTCCTCCGCCACCTCCACAAAGGAGCGCGAAAAACAGCGCCACACCAGTGGTGACACCGACCGACAGGTGAACACTCTCCAGTGTCGCCTTATTGAACCTCCTCCATCCCTTCCACCACTCCCACCGCCACCACCACCACCACCACCAATATCTTCGGAAGTGTGTGAAAGGTCCCCTGCATCCTCCCGCCGTCTGCCCACCGTGGTGGTACTCGGCTACCAACGCGTCGTGGCTGAATCCCAAGCCGCCGCAGAGCGAATGCATCAACAACAACAGCTACTACGACAGAGCACTCACCCCACAGACTGTCCGCTCACTCTGAGCATCGGATCCAGCGGGCTTATTGATCACGGTGTGCCCGCCTCCCCACACGGTCGAGACAACAGGGTGCCTACTTTAATAGCAATAATCCCATGGTTTCGAGAGAGGTAGTCACTTGACCTATTTTTCCATTTTTAGGTAAGGTGTCCCCCGCCCGACGATCTCCACTACTTGGCACAACCCCCTCCACCACAGTCTTCTCCCACTAACACCTCGAATGATACCACCATTTCGCCCGTCGTGTCATCCCCTCAGTCACCATTAGCATCACCACCACCACCAATCACCTTGCAGGGGGCCGCCTCCTCTGACCAATCAGTGTCCAACTCACCGCTCAGCAGCTCTCCGCCTGACGTAGGGCCTCTGTGGCCAATGATAGGTCCAAAAGCGGTGGCTGAGGACGCGGAATCTATTGCCGAGTCAGTGTATCATCAACCGCCCAAGGCGGCTGATCGCAGCGCCGCTTATCGGTTAGCGCGTCGCCTCTTCACCCTGGATGGGTTCAAGATCAGCGATGTTGCTAAGCATCTCTGTAAAAGGTGAGCTAATGCACTGTTGTTCATGTCTTGTTGATTGGGAGGGTGAGCGAGGGTCCGAACAACTTGTTTCGTTGTAGCACTGGTAGCTTCTCGTCTACATTTCCTCTCTCCAAGAAGTGTTTTCTCTGACATTTCAATTGTGCAGCAAAGCGTTGGCTTTGATAGTTCAGGTGTTAGAAGGACGGATGTCGGGTTGTGCAAATCTTGCGTTGAATGCGTGGTTGCGACTCCGAATTTCCCTCTATTCAATCTTGCGTACGCTATGTGAGGGGTTCTCTCTCGGCCGCAGGAACACGTCTAATGACTCACCGGCCGCATGCGCGTGCGTGCGTGCGTGCGTGTGCGATCGCGCATCTCAGCGGATGTCGCGTCACCCCCTGGCCGCTTCTCTCAGCCTTTCGCATATACATTCATATGCAGGCACTCTCGTCCCTTTGCTGCTGCCAATACTACTGCCCCAATTTTAGCATCCTTTTTTCTTCCTCTGTCAAAGTTGGTATCTTCGGAGTGCGGAGACTAGATTTCCCCGTTGCATAATGGTGCTTATCGTATTCGGCATATGATAAGGTGGGTAAGAGGCTGAGGATTAGGAATGTTTCTGTCTTCTGCGGTGATGTCATCTTTATCATTCCACCTGGAATTCAGGTGGTTGAGAAATGGGTTCAGGGATTCTTCACTTCCGACCCTCCGTCAGGAAGATCCGAGCTTGTTTGTCGAACGCTCTTTGGGCGAAGTTTCACTGCGATGCTATCATAACTGCATCCGAGGTACCCCAGGAGACATTTATGCGGGAAACGTCTATTAAATGATTGAATTTTTATGGGGCTGTAAAGTGATAACCACTACATAACTCACCCCACTCATCGTGTAGAGATCAAAGGTCATCGTACTCTCACGACAGTGGTGTGTAGTAGGTATGGAGGGATGTGACATTGGTGGATCTTTTGTAAGATCAAGTAAGTATAGACTGCATGGAGTAAATTTTAATGATCTAACAAGCCGTTTGACAAGATTTGCACGGCTTGTCCTAGTTGCGATCCCGATTTTTTTAGACGGCTGATTCTTCGATTCGTGTTTATGTCAAGATTAAACAATGTCTTGGCCACTATTTTCGTTGGAATCGATGAACGCGAAAGGAGGGGACGAGTGATTGGTCATGTCTGGGCGTGTCATATGACCACTTCTGTGTGGCAGACTGGCTGCTCTTGCAACAATCTGACATTAAAATCGACACCATGACATGTTGTTATCTGGTAATCCTATGCGCAAATTTTATCAAAGAAGAAGGAGCAGCGCCATTGCGTGATAATCGCTTGTGAATCGAAGGTATGTACCAAGAGCAAAAAGATCATCTTCGCAGAGCCGTCTACGAGTCGATTAGTAAGTTTCAAAATCCCCTAACTTATGTGGTCGATGCATAACACTTAAACGTTTGATTCTAGCCGTTACTAAGATGAGAATGAGAAGGATTTCACTACTGTGAGCAAGAAATTGAGTGGTAGGGGAGCTCAAGACAAACTTGGTCAGCAAACCTAGTTCATATCATCTCCTGGAGCTCGTAAGGATCTACACTCCAAAACCCGCTCCGAAATCGGAATGACTGTCACAAATACAGTGCCATATGACCTACTCCAAGGGAAGCCGAACTCTACAAATGGATTGGAGATCTCTCAAGGAATTTATGTCATTGCATAAAGGTGCATCAGGCTTATTGGCCGTTTGATTTCGACCATTTCGAATGGCTCATGGAAGCCTCTAGGCTAGACATGCTTCCGAAACATTGGAGTGTTACATCAGTGGGAGGTATTGGCTGGATGACGAAATGATTTTACACGTTTTGAACCAAGTAGAGGTAAAAGGTAAGGTGGTATTTTTAGCCTTTCAGATGTCATACAGTGTTTATACAGTGCTGTCAATCGTTTTAAATAGATCGCTAAATTTTCCTTGTTAAGACGACACGAGTGTCTTCATATGCCAGCTGGTGATCATACTCATAAATCAAAATTAAATGCTTACCTGAATCAGGAAATACCACGGTAGAGAGGATTACAGTGCCCTAGAGGGCCTTGAATCCTGGTGTAGGCATTTTTGTTTGCTTGCCGCATCCGTGGTTTGTGTGTGTGTGTGTGTGTGTGTACCCTTTTTGTTGTTGCCCACGTAACCGCGCTAAATGGACTGCTGTGTGTGAATGTGTGGGTGCAATCGATAGGGCGTCTTGGTTGTTGCCCGCTTTGCGTACACACACACCCATGACGCCTTTCCGTGCGCCCACTTTTGCCCACCGCACTCCACCCTCTGCCCACTCAGTTTATCACCTAACCGACCAATCTATCAAACCACCGAAAGATGCTCTCCATAGCTCTCATTTGCTCCTGCTTGTAGCTTGAGTAGTGTGATAGAGCTGCTTGTGTGGACAAGCAATCGCCGCAGAAGGATATTCTGTTGTGTGAAACAAGGCGGTGTTTTTTTAGTCTTCCGAACTTGTGCTCATTTACTAGTTTTCGCGATAAGCTAGCCTCATCCCCTATTCATTCCGTATCCATCCATCCATCCATCTATCCCGTATCCATCCATCCATCCCGTATCCATCCATCCAATATCCATCCATCCATCCAGTATCCATCCATTCATCCCGTATCCATTCATCCATCCTGTATCCATCCATTAATTCATTCATCTATCCATTAAAGCGGCATTCGGACACAGTTTGTTTACGTAGGGGACCCATCTCTTTTTCTCTCTAGAAAAGCCGGCAGCTGATAAAACGGGACACTGTTATTTTGTGCTTTCTATTCTATCATTCAGCACGTTTGCTAGCAGTATCACGTGTGTACGACACCCTGTTTTTCTAGATCCTACGTGACATACGTGTGAAATGTCTTGTTTCACATTTCAAAATAGTTGGTTGTGCACCAAATCGTATTTTGAATGGATTGGTAGAGTTTTGAAAAATAAAATTGTTGGGGTAGTCTAAATTTTTGCGTCTCATCAAAGCAGTACAGTATTTGGCTTGTGGTAGTCTCTTTTCCTTTGGGATACAGCTAGCGAATGTGTTAACAAATTGTATGGGCGTCGTATCCTTTGAAAATGTGATTCAAAATGGTTTCATTCTCTTTTATATTATTCATTTCGAGATGAATTGAATCATTTTCTTCTCTTCTGACGCTCTTTATGGGTGAGAGCCTTTACGAAACCGACACTTGCATTCTGTTTACTCACAGCTGATGGGCTTTTGTTGGATGCTAAGTTTCCCACAGTTCTTTGTTACTTGTGGCGGCGCTGTGATCAACCAGACACGTGAATTGCTTCGCGTCCGTTACAACAGTGCGACCATTTTGGGGCTTTTGGGATCATTGATGGATGACTCTGGGAGGAAGACAGGGACAAACACCAACTTATAATGCTTTTCTTCTGTGAGAGCGCCGTCCCTTTATTTGATGTGATTGTCAATCACGTTTAACCTAGGAGTTGAAAAACATTCTGATCACCTGCCGGGGCATTGATTTACCTGTCAAGTAGAATTTGTAGCTTGACACGCACAGGCATGACAGAGTGCTACTTCTGTTCTCTGGTACTATCACCAAAAGGTGCAGACTTTTTGAACCCCCATAGTGAATTGACTGTTTTTACACTAATTAATCGTGCTGATGCTCTTATGGTGCCTTGTAGGAACGACTTTTCGCAACTGGTGGGCGAGGAGTTTGCGAGTTTCTTTGACTTCACTGACCAGACGCTGGACACAGCACTGCGCCATTTCATGACCAAGTTCGCTCTCACTGGAGAGTCGCAGGAACGAGAGCGCATTCTCTTCCACTTCTCGCGTCGTTACGTAGCCTGTAACCCTGGCGACTTTGTTTCTGATGGTGAGTATATAATGCATATGTGTCCTTTATTCCCAGCTCCTGTGATTTTTGTCGATGAATGGTCTGTGGCATCCAGGTTGTTGCTGAAGGTGTTATAGGCTATACAAGTCTGGAAAATTTTTATACAACTGCATAAATGAGCCCGAAAACCGGTAGCCTATGTGGGGAATTAACAAGGGGAGAACAGGGTCCACTTAGTCATGTATAGAGGCGGTCATTAAATAAAAATCGGTACTTTCAGGTTTACCAGGGCAGAGAGCTGATTTCAAGGAGTGTAAATGGCATCTATGCCCTTAACCTCAAAATTTGTCAGTCTGGTGAAACCATCCCGAGATAGTCTGCATCGGGTTTCCAGTAATTGCAAATATCTGCTTTCTTGAATGATTGCTAGGGGAAGATTAGTTTTACAATCGCACGACAATGCGATGTACATTGATCATACTGGAGACGGAATCACTAGGATGGAAGTCGTCAAAAAAGTAGGGGTCGTATGTAGGGTCGGGTGACAATGAAATGTTGACACCATTGAATCAAGTGCTTATCGTTGTTGTATACATGCGCTCACGTGCGCAGTTACGGTGGCTCGTTTCGGGTGTCTTGACAAACGATGTTTGAACCGCCCGGACTGAACTGGACTGGCCTGACTCACGAACACATGAATGTATGTCGGCTACTAATACGAGCTAAGGGACAGTCTTGCTACTGTGTATATTACCATCACAAAAACACATCTTTTCACGGAACGAATATAAAAATGTAATTTACCAAAATTCTCCCTGCTTAACGGCATTACTTTTGTTCTGTGTATCGTCCTCACTGCTTCTGTCTCAGTCACTTGGTCCATAATCAGTTATCACGCTGTGAACAAGGATTATTCGTAGACGTCTGAACTAGTCGGTAGCAGTGCATCTCTTAAATTTTATATTTTCCAAATCGCATTCCGCTTTTCTCTCGCAAGTTCACCTTGTGCTTAAAGGATGTTTTAATATCAAGTAACTTTCCTTTGGCGGTACTCTATCAAGCGCCTCTGACTTCAATATGTAAATTAAGGACGCAATTTATGGCCAAAGGCAACTTCACAGCGCCTGCTAATTAGTAGCCATAGCTCCTGAGACAAATACACTTGTGAAGTATATAAGGCAGTTGGTGATTAAATCATCGAAATTACTAATCTGTCTGACCTATCTTAATTGCTCAAAATTAGATATATGTCTGTCTGCCTCCAATTCCCGCCTGTCCCTTGCACACGATCACCAACTACCTGTCTTCACTCGTGCTTCCTCTGCTATTGCTTTGGCAATAAACATCATCGTGCTCCTTCCAGTCTTGCGTCTGTTCTTTTACCCCAGTCTTGGAGTTGATTTGCTTGGAAGTCTTCGTTAGGCATCTCCTGCTCGTACGTGGATGTTTTTTGGCAGGCTTGTGGTGCAGAGGTTACTTTTTTTCTCTCGGTTAACTGTTAAAAATTTTTGCATCTGAATTCTGTCGCCTTTCGTTGCTTTACCTCAAACTCCTAAATCAACATCTTTCCAACTTTTTTTTGTTCAAGTAAAAAGAAGCATTGATGATGGCGATTTTTTTGCCCTGAAGAACCTTTCGTAGTCGTTTAAAAAGGCCGAATAAGTGTTCATGTAAATAGGGAAGGAACTACTATTTCGAAAGTTCCCCAATCAGAACCGACATTTTCTGTCTAGTGAAGACTATCACGTTTCATTGTTTCCAAGGTCGTTGCTAAACCCCGATTACTTGAACTTGAGTTAGTCAGCGTTTTAACTAAAAAGGCAGAAAAGGAGGTCGCGATTTGGCAGTCAAAGCGCTCCTCATCTTAATGTCGAAAGAAGGCGGAGGAGAAATTTTGCAGTAAGTCGCATGTGCACAACAAACCAATTAACATTTCGCCCAATATTCAATCAGAACAGTCTTTCTGCCCCACATTCCTCTAAATCCAAATTGCGGTTGTGTCGTTGAGAAATCTGTTTTAGAATGGCTAAATTTCCCATTATTTTCAAGGAGTGGTGATCGCAATTTGTCTGTCAAAGATGTTTTCGGGTGAAAGCCCCTTCTCTTGGTGGCTAAAAAGACGAGTTGAGTAGAATAAACTCACGGAAAATATAATTAAGTATTATGCAAGTCCTCGAATCTGACCTGATTTCCCGTCGTTGCATTCATTTGCTTGAGAATCATTGTGATTTCCTTGAAATTCATTCCGCGACTTTTGTCCTCCTTGAAGATGCTGTGAGGCATGAGGATGTATCAGAGGGTTTCGCGTAACCGCCGTGCCACTGAAATTTAAATGCTTTTTGGAACCCACTATTCTTGTGTTACCCAAGGAGGCAGGTGCTCCATGACTGATCCTTCAAGTATGCCAGTCGTTATCTATGGACGGATACTTGCTTAAAAGGAGCGGAAGTAGCATCACAAAACCAATATTCTGCATCTATTTTTCCTTGCCACCTTGCTCTCATTTCAATACTGTTTGTCTATTTGGGGATCCATTCAATTAGGCAGAGTGTACAGGTGTCATTTATTCGCGTAATTCACGTATCCTTGTAGGAATATCGGATCTTCACGATGGAAGTTCTTGTGTCGTTCATCCGTGGTGTCACTTCACTGTTTGGCTATACTAACAGAACACGAGATTGGGACGATTGGCTAAAAGTGCACGTGGGTTGGGTAGTTTTTCTGCGGTGATTCCCTGTTCCTTGAAGGTTCAACCACTTACAGCAGATGTATTTCGTTTTTGACCTTTGAATATGATAACTTAGGCACGAGAATTGGGGTTATCGCTGTCACAGGCATAGAAGAAATGTTGATTACCGGTGTACAGAAGAGCTGAGAGACTGTAGACGTGGATGGGACGTCATGCCGCTGAAACGATGAGGGAAATATCCAGAATTTGAAAGTTTGTATTTGATTATGTATCTAAACAACTGATAGTTTACGAAGATTGTTTTCAATCGCAAAGAGTGAAGGGGGTATTAGGATTTTTCAATCACTGGTGCTTCAGAATCGGGAGCTAGTTCTCTTGATGCTTAAAAAGACTGATTTTATACAAACAATGTAGGCTTCTGGACCATCTTTTTTCAGTCTTCAGCTCACTTCTTTTTGTCTTTTTTTTAATGAACAGAGGAAGAAATGATCAACTTTTTTTCGTCCAAGTTACTTCAAGATGGCGATTTTTTTTTAATATCCAGAAAGACAAAGGGGGCTTCATGTAGTTATTGCAGGCCTGAAAAGGAAGTAACAGCATTTTTGTTTTTCTTGAGCAATGTCGTACTTCATTGTCTTGAAATTGCTGCTACATCTTTCAGTGTAGCTTCTCATTGACTGCGTTTTTCAATTGGGAAAGATAGAAGCCAAGATCGTAATTAATTATTCATGAAAGTTTAACATTTCAGAATCCCTTCTTCTGGTGTTGGAACAAAGATGAAAGAAGAGGGCCTACATGGCAAATTTTGCGAGGTCGGAAGTAATTAACATTGTACATTATTTTGAAGCTGAAGTCTTCCTGTCTCGTCCTTTTATTAAATCAATCGTAGCTGTTTTTTTTTTAAATTCACCTCGTAATTACTTTGTCTTTTCTACCTGAAAGTTTTGAGGGAATGGAGGAACTCCTCATATAATCGTTTTCTATCATACCGGGCAAGCGACCTAAATCCATTCGTGGTCAGTTTTTTATAGAAGCGATTTATGCCCTTTTGAATGGGGAGTGCGTCTATTCAACGCTTAGACTTTACCAAACCGAGATTCAGTTCACGCTGAACTTGTTCCAATTTTCCCTCCTCCCTCTCTTAGCTGCTTTTCCTCCTACCTGTCTAGTGCAGGGGAACTCAGCGATTAAACAACGATTGCATCGAAATTGGGACTTGTCTCTTCCGTCATTACGAAAATATGGAGTGCAAAAAGCAAGAGGTGGGAGGTGATTCCTCTAAATCTACCACCACTGCAGACATTTGATAAGGGTGACCAGCCTCACTCACATGCGGGTGTCAAGTAGACGAAGTGGGAAGCGATGGTGGTGCCCGACCCGCACGGAGCCTCACATGGGGCCACAGGGACAGTTTGGACCGCAAAAGGTGGATTTAAAACCTTTTGGCATGGCCATTTGTCCATTGGACAATTCGTTGTGTTTACACTCACACTTCGTGTGTGCTAGGCGATTGTCTTGTGCGTTTGTGTGTGAATGATAGCTAAAAAGTTGTCATCTCCATGTTTGTGTCCTGGGCTGGGGTACGTGCGCCGGCTCTAATACAATCGCTTTTCAAGATGCCTTGTCCCTTCCTCTATTGCTTAATGATGAATTTGAACCTTTTACCTTACGCATAAATTAGGCTTTTGATGTGTAGTAGACGGCAATCTTTTACGAAAACACCGCTTTTTTTAGACCTCGCGAGGTGTTCCAGTCTGACTGTACCTTCACAACCACTCTACAAAGGTTAACCGTGAGGTAAAAACGAGGATGATGCGATAATTTTTCGCCACAATGGGAAGATCTCTAAATTTGACCTTGGTAACATCTTGTCGATTTCGATGGGGCTCATTTATTAAATCCCCAGTGGCTTATTTGGGAAAGAATTACTTAAGGCGGCAAAATGTCTTAAAGCACGAACACTTTGTAGAAAGCGTAAATCCGTATTATCAGAACTTTGGCCTAGTTTCATTCCTCCTTTCCACTTAAATGGCATTTTAAGCCTATCTTATCGTCTATCTGGCTTATTCTCGGATTCTTTTTACTACGCAGCAATGCGGAACCTTGTGATTCCACGTAACTTTAGTGAATAATTTTGTCTCGTTCACTTCAGCTTTGTAATTTTGTGGATTTATTGCAAGGATCTGCGGGTTTGGACACCTACAATTGGGTGTGAGTCTTCCTTGCATCTGAACTCACCTCTGAAGACGTTATGGGACATGAAAGCCTAGGATAATCGTTATTATCAACGTATAATAGGTATGTGAGGCTAGGAGTGGCTATGATCTTGACAGTTAGACTAGTTTTTAGAATGCATGATTATCTTGACAGGTGGTCCACATTTGTTTCACGTCATCAAGTGACCCCTTCTTTCCTAAGTACACTAAACTTTCACTGCACTCACTTTATACTTAAACATTCTCAGCCTTTTATTCAAGATGCGATTTTGTCGTCAATGCTAGACCCTCTGCTAGTTTTTTGACTAACGTATTTGCTCCAGCGGTACCATTAGGAGCATGAACAGTTGTTCATGTCAATTAGGACAAACTAGACTCTATACTCTGTTGGTTAGCTAACTTGCTATCAGGCTAGTGTGTGATTGTGTTCTTTCCTGGTAAAGAACAGACCAGTAATAGCTATCGCGGTTAATTTGCGTTTCTGCGTTTATGCAACATCAAAAAGTCACGGCGTTTTTATCTCTCACTTTTTTGTGGTTTCGCAGGTGTTTGCAGTTTTGCCTCTCCTTGCACCTCCACCTCCTCCCTCTTCCTCTTCCATCTTTTACCGCTTTATTAATCCGCGTTTTTATGAAATCCGGCTATTTCACACTGAAGTATTCAAAAGGGCGTCAATTTCACACATTTGATGGACAGTACTGTTGGCCTTACCCTTTTCCCTTCTGTCCCTTACCGAAACACTCAGGTTTGATTAATTACTGCATTTATTACTGCGACGGTGGGGGGAGGGTCTTTTGATAAATGTCCACCGTCTGCTGGTCTAGACCCTTATTTTTTTGTAACTCCTTGTAGATGCCTGCCACACTCTAGTCTGTGCACTAATGCTATTGAACACGGATCTGCATAGTCAGGTAAGTTCTGAACCTTTTTGGTAGCGTGATTTGGTGGTGGGCGGGATAAATCTTCTGTAATCGCTAGAGTTTGGAAATGTCATTTTGTTCCCACAGATTTTCCGCTTTTGCCTACGTAATAACCAAATGCGGTGGTTTATTTATTCCGTCCTGGAACATTAGAAAGGCGAGATTAAGTTAGGTAGCTAGATTCACATGAAATACTAGTGGATTGGGAGTTCAGGAGTGAAGCAGTGTTAACTTAGGCAAGTAGTGGCGAAATGCTGGGCTTTGTTTTACAATGAATTAATTATCCAGCTTACCCAATACCCAGCCTTTCCCTCCCTCTTCGCAAAACACTTCGCAGTTGTCAGAGATGCACAAACCTTCTACATTCTGCTGTTATGTTTCGCTATCTTTCTCTACTAATATCAAAATCAAGCTTCTCATTTTGATTCCCATGTAACGATTCTCCAGTCATCTTTGAGGCTGTGGAGGTAGTTCCATTTTTAATTTACACAGGGCTATTGAAATGTCTGCATGTATAGATTACCATACCAGCAAATTGTGCCAGACATTTATAGGGAATGGAGAAACTATGTAGCTAAATATATGTCATTACTACCCTTCCTTTGGAAGTTTAAACGTCATTTCTAGACTCCTTTCATCCTCCTAAATCGGAAATGTATGTCCTACATTGATTTCCCACTAAGATGGCTAGTAACAATGATGACGGAGCTCCATAGTGTTAGGTCAATGACCAGTAGCTGTGAAGGTCAATCGCATACATTCCTATCTCACCTAATCGTCTCTGCCTTTCAGAGTGTTACAAGGAAAATGTCTTGCCAGGAGTTTGTGAGCAACCTAATGGAACTGAACAACGGGGAGAACGGGTATTCAGTCGATGAACTAAAACGGCTCTACGATGCATTTAAGCAGGAGCCACTGAGGTGGCCTGTGTAAGTGACAACTTTTTCACTTTGTTGATCATACATCTGCCCAACTTCCTATTTCAATGGCGGCATGGTTGCATGCGCACCTACTCAAGCTTCCATATAGCTTCTGTTTCCTCTAAGTTACCTCTAGTTATTGTAGCCAGCCAGATACACGGAGCTTTCGCTATCTGCTACACTAAAATAAATTCTTTCTTTTATCGTTTTAATCTGCTTATTTGACAATTACTGGAGAGGGGAAATACTGTTTTATGCTAAGCACACTGCCAATCAGGATGCTTTTGTGCTTTCGAGGTACATGCACGCACGCACGCACGCACGCATACATACCTGTCCATAATTCCCTTTGACTACTTTCCAACTAGGGTGGTGATGTTTTTATATAGAAATGAATTACAAGGATGGTTGGAGCTCTAGACAGGAGTAGTGGCATGGCATACACACATAGATGATTGACTGTTGTCCCTCATCCCTGTCCTTCCACTTTTGCCTACTACAAACAAATTTTCGCTTAAATGTATTTCTTGAGCTCAATATTCATTTTTGTCTTGGATAATAAATCATGGTTTGCCGTATTCGACAAGATTCCGTGCATCTGTCAGTGGCAAACGCTTGATGGCAGAAGATCATTTAATTCTCACGTAAAATTTCGTAATCGAAGATGCAAGCAAAATTGTGCTTTAACTTACATTCCAAAGTGTAATTAGACAAGAATTGTAATGCAGCCTTTGTTTTTGAGGCTACTGTAAGCATGGGTTGAGAGCTATACTTGTGCTTTTATCAGTTGCTAAGGCAAACAAGTCATTGATGTATAAAAAGCAAAAAAAGTTTTTTGGACCGAAGAAGCGCTTTCAATCAATCATCAAATTGGCTAAGTTCTACTAGAAAGGATAGTAAAATGCAGGAAGTTGAGTCGTTGTTCCTCTTTTCATAAGTAAGATGGAAATCAATAATATCACTGTCAGTGTCGTTATTACTTTTAGAATGACTGAACCATTTTCCTTGTAAGTGCTACACTCTAATCGGTGACCCTTCGAATCGTTCATCAATATAAATTCGGTAAAAATTGAGGAGGGAACAGGTATTGTTTCTTGCAATTAGGAGGGTCGGGTCTGGACGATGAAACCACTGGCTTGTCATTGACTTTAGACTCGGATGGAAGGACAAGTAGGCAAGTAGATGGATTTGGTGGAACTTGAAAAGCAATTTAACAAACTTCACAGGTTGCTGCATTGCGAATTGTAAATGGTATCCAAGTTTGAAGTCCATCTAACGTTGATTTGTATCTTCCCAAAAGTTAAACTATTTACCTGCATTGCAAAGGTCCTGCATTTGTTCTTGGCCTTATCACTTTTGGATGGTTAGAGTGTATTTTTTTGCGGATTTATCAACACCAAAGCTCTGAACGAAGAGAATGAATTTGCAGTTAGGTACATCAATTTTCGTGGCAAAATGGAGGCAAATTATTAAATAATAGATATTACCGATGTGCATTGGATGACAAATTTCAAACCGTTTTTTCCTGGTAAGACCTTTTCAGAACTGCCTTTCTTATCAGCTTGAATCTACTGAAAGTGAACTATGGATATGTTGCGACACCTTTTCATACATTCAACATTTACCATTGTTGGAAACAGTGAAGTGGCGGAGGATTAGCAATCTGGCTTGTGTGGCAAATGTAGACCGATCATAGGGTCATTCCGCGGAACGCGATACCTTCCTCCCAAAGTTAATTGTCTACGCTCAAACTATGGCAGAAAT